ACAGTCTATAAAAATCAGTTGTATTTCTGTATACCCGCAATGAACAGCCGAATTGCATTTCAGAAAATAGTTCTTCTAACAGTGACATCAGAAAGAATAAAAATACTTAGGAATAAAGTTAGCAAAAGAAGTGTAAAATGTGTACAAGGAAACGTCAACATGTTCATGGAAAAAACGGAATAAAAGAGAATGTAATATTTTCACAAACTTTTTGAAGCCACTACATATACTGAACAGGGTCACTATGGGTCGGAACCGACTCGATGGCACATAACAACAACATATACTGAAGCCCACAAACCCTTACCTGGTCGTTTAACCTCGTGTTCTCTATATGTAAAACTTGGGATTTGAACTTTATGGGTCAGAGGTTTCTTTACTTCACCTTTATGCATTGTGAGTGCTCTTGAAAGAGTGCTTTGTTGTATTTGATTTTATTTTGTTGCAAGAAGTAAAGTGTTAGGACTACAGTTTGGTCTAGGCTTAGGCCTAGGGCTTTATTTAGTATTAGGGCTATGGTTAGGGCTAGAGTTAGTCTTAGGAGTAGGGATTGGACTAGGGCTAGTATTAAGGCTAGGTCTAGTTTTAGGATTACAGTTAGGTTTATTTATTTTTAAGTTTTTATTGTGAATTGAATGATAGTTTCCATGGGAGAAGATTGGTTTTACACTCATCATTTCATTGCAATTATAATCTCATCCATGCGTCATGTCATCATTGAATAGTATTTGCTTCTAGTCCCTCTGGGTTTTTTTGTTTGTTTTGGAATGTACATAAAAATACTCAGGAGTTTATAATCATTTAAATAACCAAAGGGCACATTCTGCAAGCCTGCCTCCTGGCCACCAGCACACAGCCTTTCTCTTTCCATGAGTCTAGAGTCCTCAGCTGCTCCCTCTGTCCATGTCCCTATCTGTGCCTCCATCACTGGTGTCGCTGATTCTCTGGGTTAGGGTCCCACATTCTGTTCATGCTCTTCTCCTGTGATGGTCCTAGGGTCCTCTGTTTCTGGAATATAAGATTAACTACTCCCCCCTTTTTGTTACAAAACTTCTACCTTTACAGCTGTGACAGTTGCAATTGGTCATGATAACAATTAACTCACTATTGAATCATAAGAATCTTATCCCCATCTTCTTTCACCAGACTCATCTAGACAAGATGAAAACTATTTAGTGGGGACTCTGCCTTCTCCCAAGTTAGGTTTATTTTTTTATCATTTTATTTTTCCTTGAAATCTTGAATTTCCTCTTCATTGGAAGTTCTATATGTTTTTCCCTCTTTTTACTTTACGGGTTTTTAAAAATTGGTTTTGTGACTTGATATCTCTGGTTCCCTATTTTCAGTCTTAGAGGTTTTATTTTGAATACTTGTAAATCTCGTTGAGTATTGTAATGTTTGTTAGCTGCAAATTATTGTCTGCTATTGGTGGTTCTCTGTCCAGCAAATTCCTTCCAGTATTTTTTTTTCAGGTTGGTCCAATTGTTTACAAATTCTTTTAATTCCTGTATATCTGGAAATATCCTATTTTTACCATAAAATTTGATGGACACTTTTGCTGGGTAGATAATTCTTGGTTGGCAATTATTTTCTTACAGAGTTTTAGATATGTCATCTCATTGTCTTCTTACCTATGTGGTTTCTGCTGACAAATCAGAACTTAATCTTATTAGTTCTCCTTTGTGGATAACTTTTCATTTTTCTGGAATGACCTCAAGATACTGTCTGTGTCTTTGGTTTTGAAAAGTTTGTTTATAGTATGTCTTGGTGGTTTTCTTTTGGGATCTACCCTGTTTGAAGTTTGTTCAACTTCTTCAGTGTGGATCTTCTCGTCTTTCAGGTTAGGGTAGTTTTCTTCCAATAACTCAAAGACAATTTTCTCTTTTATTTTTTTCTCTTGTTCTGGAGTTCCAATCACAAGTAAATTATAATTCTTAATAGTGTACCATATACATCTTAGGCTTTCTTTGAATGTTTTAATTCTTTTTTCTGATTGCTCTACTAGCAGATGAATATTGAGAGATTTGTCTTTAAACTCACTGATTCAGCCTTCCATTGACTCACTTCTGTTTCTGAAATCTCAGTTTTAATCTCCTGGCTTTCTGATTGCTGCTTTTGTATGGTTTCCAATTTTTCCATTTATTTGTCATTTTGTTCTTATAGCATTTTCCGTAATTCTTTAAAGTTGTGTCTATGTATTCCTAGATTTAATCTGCAGTTTTCTTGATCAATCTGCTGAAGGCACCTAAGTATCATTCTTCTGAATTCCTTAACAAAGTAATTCTGATTCCATTTCTGGCATTATACGTTTTCTGACTGTACTTTGGTCCCTTGTTGGAGACTCTTGTCTCTGAAACATTGTGGTGCTGTTGTTTGTATTGAAGTGATGCTTGAAGGTTGGTGTCCACAGGCACTCACTCCCTGACTCCTGGTGGATGTGATAGGACCCAATGTGTGAATGCAGCCCTCCGTTTACTGTGTGTGTAGAGTGGTCCAGGGCTGGTTTATACACCTTTAGACTCAGGGTGGTATGTGTGGTGCCTGGCTCCAGGCAGAACAGAGGCTGCCACAGGCCACGGGCTGACAAGGTACAAGGTGCCACCCAGCTCTGGCCGCAGCCTGTGCCTCTCGGTCACTGTCTCAGTAGCCACTACAAAAGCTCACGATGCTTTTCCACTCCAGGCTAGGCCACCATCTACCGGTCGTCTTATCTTTTGCTGCTCCCGTTTAGAGTTCTCTTCCAGGTGTCACTCAGTCTGCCTCTGTGGCGACTTCGCTGAAGATTAGGGTTCCTGAATCCCTGTCCATGTCTGTCTCTCTTGGTCTCCCATGACCGTGTTGCAGAGGGTCTGTTCACCATCTTGCCCCAGAAGTCGTCGTCGTTGTTGTTAAGAGCCAAAGTCGTTAGTTGTATTTTAAATATCTTAGATCACCTTTAACTCAATGAAGGACAGATCTGTCCGTCTGACCAAACAAACAAAATCAGTACCACTGTCACCAAGTTGTTTCTGACTCCTCGTGACCATTTGGGACAGAGGACACTGTAAGGTAAGCACTGAACTGCTGACTGCAAGGTCAGAGGTTCAAAGCCACAGACCTCCTCAGAAACCCCATATAGTGTAGCTTTGAGCCGGAACCAATTGGAGATATTTACCGAGAACAACAGAATTGCTTCCAAGAGTATAAGTCTTTACCAGAACAGACAGGCTCATCTTTCTCTTGCCATAGTGGTTGTTGGATTTGAACCATTGACCTTGAAGTTACTAGCCCAGTGCTCAACCCACAGAGCCACCAGGGCTCCTTGTACCTAACAAGGGATTTAGGATTTTGTATCTGGCCTTGAAAAAGCCTGTCCTGCAATCATTATATCTAATACTAAATGTGAGTTGTGAGCCCGACAACTGGCTTCTCACTTTTTACCTGGAGTGGGCCACATGTGAAAAGCAGGAACCGCGGGGCCCACTGGGAGATGAGGGACCATCTGGAGTACATGCCTCGTGGATGTCACGTTTGATTCTAAGAACCACAGTTAATTCATGTAGATCTCACCCGCATGAAAGGGTTAACTAAATATGAGTTTGTAAAAGGCACAATTTCTAAAACTGTCAGGCCTCCCTGATAGTAGCTGTTCTTTCAGATTTACAAAACTTGGATAATACAAGACCACCTTCAAGTACAAAAGAAGCAAACACTGTTGGAATCTGGGACATACAGCCTCTGTCTACTACAGAGACTCCCTTTCCCTGTCCTTGAGAGGAGAAGTCAGCTAAACCTACGTGACTTTGAACACTAACCCTCACCCATTTACATGGGGTCTTAGATATAGCCTGTAGGAAATCCCATAATCTTTTCATTTGTTTTCCATGAGCTTTTTGAAGCCCCTACATTGTGTTTTCAATATCATGTGTGCCAGAGAAAACAAAAATCAGTTAATATTTCATGAGTGTTTATGCGTTGGTTGCCAAGATCACACTTTTAGCTCCATGGTCTTAGTGGCCATGACCAGCACATACGGGATGTTGAACCGTCCAGCGTTGGTCTACTTTAATGCAGCAAGAGCAGAAATCCACTGTGCCTGTCTTACATGGTTTCATTTAGTGGTTCAGGGTCTCCCAGAGTCGTAAAGTGTGTAACATTTTTCATTCATGTGCTATTTTTAGTGAAAACTGCCCTGTTCACTGTTATCTCTGGATGCCCCTGTGGTCATGAGATAATTCTGTTGCATTTGGTTGGATGTCTTTCTGAGGACAACGTTGGAAACCATGAATCTTATGAAATTGAATTTACTCGCTCCCCTCTCTTACATTCCTTTCTTTTGATACCAGGTAAATTAGCCTTGCTTGCTAATTCAAGTGCAATACATTTTTGGCCCAGATTCACTGGTGCCTATGGAGTGGCCACACTGACAGTGGCCCCTCTGCTGATCCAGCATACCCTGAGCCTACTCCATGAGCTGCCTTCCCTTCCACAGACCCCATCCCTGCATGCATGCAACCTTATTTTGCTCCCGAGTAACACACACACACTCAGGGTGAAAAACGCCCAGGATAGCTGGGTCTTCGTGGTGCAATCAGGAATACTTAATTTTACTAAACTAGGTTTGTTTTTTTTGTTTTTTTTAAGTTAATAGACACACTGATTCTGGGCTGCTTGATGTCTTCCCCAGCAGTGCTCCATACAGTAATGAAAAGATAGTATGTCAGTTTTCCAATGTATTAGCATTCTAGCATTCTAAACTTGCTCTTGTACCAGATAACATCCCCAAGCTGAGAACCCTTGACAAGCTCAGCAGTTCCTGAAGTGGACTGAAACTGGCCCTCACCTGAAGATGAAAGCGTTAACCAGGGAAGGAAGTCTTCAGGAGACTGTGTTCCATGGTAGAGTTCCAGGGTATGGTCAGAAAGGTGAAGAGCTTCCCTAGGTGATGTGAACTGTGACCTTCTCTGTGTGCTGACCCTGTTAACGCCTCTTCCTGGTATTGCCCACGTTGATTCTTCTAGGTACCCTGACCCAGAATGAGATGGTCTTTAAGCGCCTTCACCTGGGCACTGTGTCTTATGGGACAGACACAATGGATGAGATCCAGAACCACATCATCACATCATACTCACAGGTGAGCTGGGTGACCCCAAACACAACCTCCTCACCTCATTACCTAGCACGTTGCTGTCAACCGGACCTGTTGCATGCCCACCTACCGATTAGCCATTTTTTATTTTCCTAAGTATGCTGTTGTATGGTGGTCCAGTTGGCTCCACGCATGACAACCCCATATGACAGAGTTGGACTGCCCTGTGAGGTTGACCCACCACTCTGATACACAGAGCTGGTCCAAATGAGCTCTTGGGTGAATTTTAGAAAAACATTTCTTCATGGCTACAATCATAAAAAAAGTAAAATGAACTTGAATCATATATTCATATAATTCTTAATTATTTCTAAGTTATTTATTCAGTGTACCATTTTAAGAATATTCAACAAGCCTGTTTTTCATCATGACTAGTAAAACTTTTCTCTTGCATTTAAAAGATAAATTCTTTTCTTATCTCACCTTCTTCTATAAACAAAAGTAGACACAGTGTGCCCTTCACACAGCCTTAACAATCATCAGTTCATAGTGGTTTTGATTCATTGGTACCCAAACTCACACACACACACACACACACACACACACACACACACACACTCACTCACACTCACTCACACACCCCTGAAGATTTTGAAGTGAAGCTTGTATATTACAGGCAGACCTCAGAGATGTTGTGGGTTTGATTCCAGACAACTGCAATAAAGCAAACATCAGAATTAAGTAATCACACAAAGTTTTGGGGTCTCCAGGGGCATGTGTGATTTAGATGCACTAGCCTGTAGTCTGTGTGGTGTGTATTAGCATAATTCTGAAATGGTTGGGAATCTTGTGAGAATAACCAAAATGCAACACAAAGGGAGCACATGCTGTGGGGAAAATGGAGTCTGTAGGCTTGGTCAATGTCGGATGACCACAAACTTTCCATTCTTAAAACCCCAGTGTCTGCAGGATTCAGTAAAATGAGGTATGCCAATCCATTCTTTCATCTGTCAGTATTTCAGTATGTAGTTCTAATGGATTAGAGTCCTGGTATATGCTTTAGGATAAGCACTGGAGTGCTAGCCACAAGGTTGGCAGTTCAAATCCACCAGCTGCTCCTTGGAAACACTATACAGGGTTACTGTGAGATGGAACTGACTGACTCAGTGGCACTTAAAAACAACAGTGCATAAGATTTGGTTGGTTTTTTATTATTATTTTGAAACAACTTTTGGGGATACCTAAAAAGGGGTTCTAGAACTTTCCCAGTGAAATAGGCTTCTTGCAGAGACTTTGTAGTGTATAGGACCTTAGGTGGACTCCTGAGCCCCATCCAAAACCATCTGAGGTGGGACATTCCCACTAGAAATGACAAGCAGACCAGCCTGGAACAGTTAGAGTAACAGAAGATACTTCTTGAAAGAAAGATCAGCAGGAAAAATCCAAAACAAAAATGTCATCATGACTGGCTACTACAAGGTAAGCCATCAAGGTAAGCAATCAAATCCCTTTAGTGCAAACCCCTCTCCAAGACCAAAATTCAAAGGGAACACATGAGCAGACATGTAAGCTTGCTATCGACCACGTTGGTGTACTGGTGAGTAGAAGAGGAGGGGGAAAGGCAGCAATGAAGGAATGGGCTGAGGTCAACCATGTTCCATAGACTCCCATTGACCTGGACATGAGAGAGAGAAGAGGAAGGGCTGGTTGGTCCAAAGTGTGGTGAGACCTTGGGACTCCTCAGCCCATGGACAAGGACACAGCCACAGAGGGCTGGAGCTGAGAGTGAAGCACCCAGCTGATAAGAAGTGAGGGGAGACCCACAAGAACTCCAAACTTGCAAATAGTACCCATTTGACCTAGCCTCGATGCCTCAACTAGAGGAGGATAAAAAAAATAATTTTTGATAAAGGAAACAAGGGTAAATTGCTACAGTTTGATGAACTTCACCTATACTTACGGATGTAGTCGTTCAAAATACCAACTGGGAGGAAAGGAGTCTTCACATCAGGTATCAATCCTATCCCCTCTGTATACAGGGTTGAAAGGGACGGGTAACTTAGATATTGGCTACCTAAAATGAGGGGGCAATAAAGGCATGAAGAGTTTCAGAGTGTGCGGTGGTAGAAAGATACAGTCCCCACTGAATAGTTTTCATCTTGTCTAGATGGCTCTGGTGAAAGGAGATGGGGATAAGATTCTTAGGGTTCAGTAGTGAATAATCAATTGTTACCATGACTAATTGCGACAGTCACAACTGTAAAGGTCGAAGTTTTTTAACAAAAGTGAGGAGTAGTTAATCTTACAGTCCAGGAACAGAGGACTTCAGGACCATCAAGGGAGAAGAGCACAAGCAGAATACAAGACCCTCTCCAGAGAAGCAACGACCCCAGAGATGGAGGCAGAGATGGGGACATGGAGAAGAGGGAGCAGCTGAGGACTCCAGAGTCATGGAAAGAGAAAGACTGAGTGCTGTCAGCCAGGAGGCAGGCTTACAGACTGTGCCCTTTGGTTGTTTAAATGATTATATATTCCTGAATGGTTTTGTGTACTCACCCCCTCCCCACAAAAGAACAAAACAAACAAGGAATGGAAGCAAATCCTGATGGATGATGACGCACAGAGGAGATGGTAATCACTGCAATGAAACGATGAGTGTCAAACCGATGTTCTCCCGTGTGAACTAGCACTCTATTCACAATCAAAACTTTAAACACAAAAGATAACCTTGTTCTCTCTGCAGGTGCCTCAGAAAATCTGTTTGAGGTGCAGAGAACAGGAATGACTTGCTTTGCAATATGAGGGTGAAGGCTTAGAGAGTAAATCACCTGCCAGCGTGTGTGTAGATGGCCCTGGGTACTGTTTAACATCCCCATCCATCTGTCTTCCAGTTGCCTTTGACTCATGGGGACACCATGCATGTCAGAGCAGAACTGGGCTCCATGGAGTGTCATGGCTTAGTTTTCACACGTGGATCACCAGGTCTTTCTTCTGAGGAACCTCTGGGTGGACTAGAAGCTCCATGCTGTCCGTCAGTGTCCGAGTAGTGTACTGCGCCTGGTATGAGACACAGGAAGCCATAGTCTATGTCTCTTCATGTTCCAATCAGAGTCAGGGCTGCAGTGCGTCGTCCTCCAGAGCGTGGCATGGGCTTCTCAGTATAGAATCTGCTCTCCGGTAGCGTTTGTCTAGCCACGTTTAGATGCCTCTTCACCTGTCATGTACTCTGAAAGCACACATCCAGCGTAATCAAGCCCAGCCAATCTGCTTAAGCTGCCAGTGCACACAGCTGTACTCTGTGGAGAACTTGGTCTCTACAACTCTTCTCTCCCTGTCTGCTCATGTGAGTGGTGCTCAAAAACCCAGACGGTACGAACCCATGGTGCCAGGCCAACCTGGCAAATAATACATCTGAATCAGGTGCAGCTTTGTGTCTGGATGAAGTCTGACTCTAGATCTGGATTAGGTATGACTCCCTTCCCAGCTCCGTGTCCTGATCAGGTGACATGGTAAACAAATTTACATTCTCTATGGAAGTGATGTTAATAGTTCCAAGTAAGTTGTCCTTTTGCTAGAAGAACTTTAAATGCAGAAAAGCTGCGTCATTATGTATAAACAGCCATTATTAGTATCTATTTAAAATCTTTTTTACTCAAAGCTTGCCCTTTGGTTGGCTGGTTGGACAGTGTGTGGATGTGAAAGTGGCTGTTGTCCTGTGCTGTGTGTGATCATGATTGACGGCAGTAGCTTAGCAGGCCCAGTGAAGAGCACACCAATCTTCTATCACCACTGAAAGCCTTTGGTGAGAGAGGGCATCATCTTTAATAGAATTTGTGTGAAATTAAGTTACACAAGCATCAATAAACATCTCATAATTCAGCAGGAGTAAAGCAGCTTCATTTCTCTGCACCGTGATGGCATCATGCTAGCTGCATGCAGATGTCGAGGATGCAGGCCTTGGCAGAGCAGTGTGCCAGACAAGCGCGGAGAGAAGCCCTTTATTAGGCTGCACTGTAATTTGATGGGCAGAGTGCATACGGCTCAGTAGCTCTGCCCATTAGGACGAGAGGCTCGTCCGACGTGTGCTGCAAAATAGTGATGGGATCCAAGGGGACGATCATTTCATGCCCCCCTCAGAAGGCCTTAACCTAAGCAGGAGGTTAACAAGACACAGCAGTGGCGGATGGGCAGCCCGGTCTTCAAACATGCCAGTCAGCCGTCTGCGAGTGGGCAGACCTATGTTTGGGTTTCCTTATGCACTAAAATCGTGTTGTTTGTTGTTCAGTGCCGTTTTGTTGGTTCCAACTCATAACAACCATGTTTAGGGTTTCCAAGGAGCGGCTGGTGGATTTGAGCCACCGGTCTTGCAGTTCAAACCAACTTTGTGGTCCAGTGTTTATCCTACAGCACCACACCAGGACATAAAGTAGCCTCCTCAGTTTAGGACACTTGCAAACTGGATGAATTTGCAGTTTTACGGGAAGACTCCTGAAAATGTATCCTGCATTTTAGCATTATGCCATTTTGTATTTGAAGAAAAATAAAAGCGGTTGTTGTATATTGTATTCCATTTTGTTCTGTAACTTTAGTATGTTTTTTGAAGTCATGAATAAACAAATTATTAAGGCCTTAGAAAAATAAATAGCACAGTTAAAGTAAGTCTAGTAAAAAGAGCTAACCAAGCTTTCACTGTGATAGCAAATATTTTGGTGTGTGGACTGGGACAAGAAGTAGCAGTTGACCTCACTAGATGTTGTGTAGAAAATAATCAGAGAAAACCAGCTACTTAGATCTTACAAAATAATGTTGTGTGCCATCCAGTCTGTTCCAACTCATAGCGACCCTGTATAGGGTTTCCCAGGCTATAAATCTTGAGGGAGCAGATGATAGCCTCATCTTTGTCTCGCGTTAAAAACTAATGCCATAATTCCATACAGTTCTCCTTGCTTTGTCTTGAATTATGCGTCATTTCCTGTTTTAAAGACACATTCTCAAGCTACTGGAAGCAATGCCAATTCAACGCCACCCAGAAAGGCCCAGTCTTCAGCTCCCAAAGTCAGGAAGAGTGTTAGCAGCCGGATCCACGAAGCTGTGAAGGCCATTGCCCTGTGTCACAATGTGACGCCCGTGTATGAATCCCGAGCTGGGGGCTCTGGAGAGACAGAGCATGCAGAGGCGGACCAGGACTTCAGCGATGAGAACCGTGCCTACCAGGCCTCCAGCCCTGACGAGGTGAGTGAGCCATGTTGGAAGGGGCCTGTGGCTGGAGAGCTGTCCCGTGTGTAGTTTCGTCTGAACTCGAGAGGCATGAAAGTAGTTCTTTAGGGGAGGGTAAAGCGATCTGCTTGGCATCTGAGCCCATAGACGGTGATACACATCTGAGGGGATCATGCACATCTGACTCTGAGCAGATTTTATAAGCTCATCTGTCAGAGTCAGATTTTAGCACATCTCTTGAACTGTGGGACAGTTACTACCGTCTTTCTCCTCTCAAAACAAGTCATCCAGTTTGCCTGTTACATCTCTTGGTCACTTGCCAAACTCTGATCTAATATTTCTAAAGAGAATTGGATGTTGCTAATTTCAAAAGCCTGTCTTTCTATCTGTCTGTCTGTCTGTCTGTCTGTCTGTCTGTCTATCTATCTAGATCTAGATATAAATATAGATATAGATATATGGAGTCCTGGTGTGGCGCTGTGGGCTAATGTGTCAGACTGCAAAGTTGTTTGAACTACAAGGTTGGTGGTTCAAGCTCACCAGCTGCTCCTCGCTGTGGGTCAGAATTGACTCAACGGCAAATATATATATATATGACAAATGGTAAACTCTTGATCATGATCAATTCATTATTCCCAATTTTACATGATTCTATTTTCAGATTGTGACATCCATTATTAAATTAATGTATTCAGTGACTGCACAGTCTTATTATATTTTATAGAGTTTTCTCATGTACTCTGTCCCTCCTGGATTCCTCAAAGGATTCTGTAAAGTCATAAAGCCAGCTATGCAAGCAGGTTAAACAAACAAGCTTCTTCACACATTGTGTAAAACTGCCTCATAAATAAATAGCAACAACCCAACCAGCAGTTTCCTTAAGCCTCTTCAGTCAAGGCTTAAAAGAGAAGTCCACCCTAGCGTTTGAAAGACGGGTAGCCTAGTGATCCTGGTTAACAAGTTTATTGCAAAAGAAAAATCTTTTCGCCGTAGTAGCACCACAATCAAGGACCTAGGATGATGTGAGGCCCCCTTATGGTGTGACTGTTGCGTGGTTGGTGAGTGGGGCAGCTCTGCTTTGCCCCATGGGGTCACTGTGAGTGTGAATCAGCTCAGCAGCACTGAGCAGTAGCCACAGGGCCTCCAGATGTCAGATGGTATTATGCACTGGCTAGGATGTGGAGAAATTCGAACCCTCATCTGCTGCTAGTGAGAGTGTAAAACCAACCTGGATGGTTACCATTTGATGTAGCAACTCTAAGAGAAATAAAAAAACATGCATCGACATAAGATGTGTGCTTTCTTCATTATTGCCCCAAACTGGAAATAACCCAGATATCCCTCAGCTGATACACTGGTAGATAATAAAAATGGGGGGTGGGGGGTGGGAAGAAGATGTGATCCCTGCTATAAGAAGAATGACTGAACCTTGAACACGTGATACTGAGTGGACGACACCAGGCACAAATGAGCACATGCTACCAGACTCACTCACAGGTCGTCCAGCACACACAGACCCACAGAGGTGGAACTCAGTTAGTCTCCGTGTGGGGTTGCGGGAGATGCAGGGAGACTGGGGCGCTGCTAGGGTAGGGTGTGGTGCTGTGGGATAAAGCACTGGGCTGCAAGGTTAGTTGGAGTTGCAAGATCCACAGTTAAAATCCACCAGCTACTCTATACAGGGGCTCTGTGAGTCTGCACCAACTCAGTGACACTTAAGCACAACATATGTCTGAAGGAGCCCTGGTGTTGTGCCATAGGATAAGTACCGGACTGCTAACTGTAAGATCAGGTGTTCAAACCCACTAGCCACTCCTCGGAAACCCTATGCTAGGTCACTATGAATCGGAACTGACTCGACAGCACTTAAGAACACTAACAACATCAGTAAAGGTAAGGAATTATGGGTACTATTATAATGACTCGAATGAAATCTAGAAGTTAGTAAGTTCACCCTTGGTTTGTTTTACTGATTATGCCCAAGTTAGTTATTTGAAGATATTGGCAAGTAAACCTTTTGAATAATCAGTAAAACAAATGTGCAGCCAATGGAGAAGAGACATAATCTGCAAGCGTGGAGGAGCCGCACATTCTCGGCCAGGTCGGAGGTTCCCTGGGGGCAGGAAGTTTGCTGCAGTGCCTCCCACAAGCCACCTCTCCCCACAGACCCCTCTCCCCACAGGCATCTCTCCCACAGACATCTCTCCCCACAGACGCCTCTCCCCACAGATGACTCTTCCTTCGGATGCCTCTCCGCACAGACACGTCTCCTGACAGACGCCTCTCTCCCCACAGACACATCTCCTCGCAGCACTGTCTCCTAGGACAGTTGGCAGAATCACTCATGAAAGTTGGTTGTGAATATGTCCTGATGTAGTTCAGGCTCCTCAGAAAGGGAGGATAAGCCCCATTTCCCATAGGGGCCATGCCTATCCTGTCTGCAAAGCCCGAGGCCTCTCTCTCCAGGGAGCTAGAGATTGGCGCGTAGGCAAGACCCCTGCTCTAGAGAATCATAATGAAATTATTGTGCTCAGGTTGAAGTGTCTTCTTGGGAACCATAGTGCACTGCTCTCTTTTCAGGAAGGCTGCCTTAGACTAGCAAACATGGGACTAGAGCCATGTGGAGAAGCAGTGAGAGGCTTGAAATAGAAGCCCACTGCAGCAGACGAGAGAGAGGAAGACTTTGGGAAAGACAGAAACCTGTGCTTCATTCTCTTCACAGACGCTCACTGTCCACTGTCCGTCTGCTACCACTTAAGAATCAGTGGACAAGATGCTGAAGGTCCCTTTGATTACTACTATTGTTTTATAAACTATGTTATTGTTAAGTACCATCCAGTCGGTTCCAACTCAGGGTTTCCAAGGAGTGTCTGCTGGATTTGAACTGACAACCTTGTAGTCCAGTACTTATTCTACTTGCCACATGACTATGGTGACTGATGTGTCCAAAGCTCCTGAAGCCAAACCTAAGGTAAAAACGCGTAATTCAGTACTCAGACGCGAATCTCACACTGATGAGGTGAGTTCTTAGGATGTAAGAATTGCATCTTGCTAGCATCCCAGGGCACAGAGCACAGAGCACTTGTAACCACTCTTGGAAAGAAAATGAGATCCATACTTTTTCTTAGGAAGAAAGGGTTGTGTATGTTGTTTTTTAAATTTATAGCATCCTTGACATTGTCAGAAATTTTATATAATACAAAATCATCATTTCCCAGCCATAATCATGGGAAATTTAGACATAGGTTTTTTTTCCCCAAGGAAAAAAATTACTGGAAGTTTTAAAATACTACATATTTCGTGTCATTGGGTCAATTCTGACCTGTAGCAACCTGTATAGGGTTTCCAAGGAGCAACTGGTGAGCTTGAACTGCCAACCTTGTGGTTCAAACAGCTTTGCAGTATAGTGCATTAACCCACTCACTCCCCACAGCATACTGGTTACGAGTTGGGTTGCTAGCCTCAAGGTCAGCAGTTCAAAACTACCAGCCATTCCTTGGGAGAAAGATGAGGCTTTCTGTTCTTGTAAAAATGTACAGCCTTGGAAACCCTATAGAGTCACCATGTGTCAGAACCGACTCCATGGCACATAACCACCTACCTAATATTTCCTGCAGCTCTTTAAGTACTTAAGGGTCTTGCATTAGTTTTCTTTTTAAATCTTAACATTAAAAAAAAAATTTTAATTAGGAACTCACTGTGAAGATTTCATTGATTAAGAGATTACAAAGAACATAGAGAAATAAAGAAACTGATCATTTTATCTTTAATCTTTTTTCTTGTAAAAAGTTTCCTTCTTTGGAAATTAGACAGTGATTAACAGTTGTGGAACATTAAGTAATCTCTAAGAAATTCCCGACACATATTTTAAATCTGAAAATGAAAAGGATAGATTTCATCCTAATTTTTAAATTGCTCTATTGATGCAGTGTTTGCAAATCCCCAAAGCCTAGGGAAAATAATCCAACGGTTCCTGATTTAGCTTATTGAACTCGGCGGCAGTTAGGTTGACGGATGGTAGCGATGTTTCCCAATCACCAAAGTGCCGTTTTAAAAGCATTTTTTATTGAATAAAGTACTGAGAATATTGCACCCTGGAGCTTTATTTAGGGAAACAGGTCAATTGATGTTTTCTGTGTAACCTCAGCTCTGCCCCACTGCACCATGTGTGCATGATAGGCAGCGATACTGGGTGAGCCTGGGTCATTGTCTGCCTGCCTGTCAGCACTGCGCCGCGCCCCTCTATGCAGGGCCATGTTGTCGGTAGGCAGGGCCTGTGGTGGGCTCTCATGTTGTCGGCAGGCAGGGCCTATGGGCGCCTATGTTGTCGGCAGGCAGGGCCTGTGGGCTCCCATGTTGTCGGTAGGCAGGGCCTGTGGTGGGCTCCCGTGTTGTCAGTAGGCAGGGCCTATGGGCGCCTATGTTGTCGGTAGGCAGGGCCTGTGGGCTCCCGTGTTGTCGGTAGGCAGGGCCTGTGGTGGGCTCCCGTGTTGTCGGCAGGCAGGGCCTGTGGTGGGCTCCCG